ATATTTAGGAAGAAGGTAAATTAGGGAATAGGATATGATAGAAATAATATCCTGTTAATGTAACTTATTAAATTGTTTTTGCAGATTATAATTTATTTGTTGACAATGATGTAAAAAATAATATTAATAATTCAGTACTACATTATTTTTAAGTGCTAGCTCAACTGGCAAAAGCTTTATAAGGCTTAGAAGTCAGTGGTTTTGCCAAAGGTCCGCCTGTTAATGTAACTTATTAAATTGTTTTTGCAGATTATAATTTATTTGTTGACAATGATGTAAAAAATAATATTAATAATTTAGTATTACATTATTTTTAAGTGCTAGCTCAACTGGCAAAAGCTTTATAAGTCTTAGAAGTGAGTGGTTTTTCTATGAATGTGATTTATAATAAAATATCATGATGTCATTTGATCCTTGTTAATTAGCATATGTGATCATAGTACCCAGGCATGCAATATATTTAGGAGAAGTGGATATATTTTGGAAATGTTTCAATCCCGTTCATTTTGAAAAAAAATATATTTTCTGCCTAAGTATTAACTAGAACAAAGCTAATACTTTACTTCATCATAAATTAAGAGAAGTGGATAAATTTTACATACCAAAGAGCACCACATGTTGTAATCACACTTGAAAGGTTTTCTTCAATACTTACATTGATATCCTGTTTAAAATTAAATGTATGTCTTGGGTTCATTTTGGTTAGTTTGTGATTATGAGACTAGAGTGTGATTTTTGTCTTTTAATGGCATCTGATTCTATTGCTGTAAATATTTGTATTTAGAGTGTTTGTTTTTTTTATAGGATTTGCTTTGAACTTTATTCTTGTATCTATCTATGTCTATTTTTTTAAGAAATGGATAAGTCATGGATTACTAAGCCACAATCATCGATTGCATATCAGCAAGGGATAAAAGAATTTATTGATTTTGCATTTAAAGGTGCAAAAGAAAATGACGTAGTAATATGCCCTTGCAAACACTGCGGTTTCAAAAAATCAAAGAGTAGGAGTGACATGTTCGACCACTTAATGTGGTCACCATTTCCGCAGGGATACACCATGTGGATTCATCATGGAGAGTCCTTTGTTGTACCTAGTACTATCTCCCCTAGTACTACTCAAAATATGGTTGAAGATACTATCATTTTCGAAGATCCTATTCATAACATGATCAATGATGCATTTGGAGTTGATATGAATCATGCTAATGAAATACCATCTGCGTCAAATTTAGAGATTGGCTAAGAAGATTATGTGATGCTAAGTGCAACTCAGGAAAGAAACGAAGCCAAAGAGTACTATGAATTGACTAGAGAAGGAGAACAACCTTTGTATGAAGGGTGTAGACGATATTCAAGACTATCTTTTCTGGTTAAGTTGTACCATATAAAGTGTTTATGTGGATTAAGTGAGAAGGCAATGACAATGATTTTAGAGTTAATTAAAGATGCATTTGAATATGCAAACATTCCAGGTTCGTTCCATGAAGCCAAGAAATCAATCACAAAACTTGGTTTGAATTATGTAAAGATACCTGCATGTCCAAACGGTTGTATGCTTTATTGGGGAGAAGATGAAGAAAGGGAGACTTGCAAAAATTGCAACACGTCAAAATGGAAAACAAATGAAGCGGTCTTTGTTAACAAGAAAAAGAAAAAAATTCCTGCCAAGGTTCTTCGTTATTTTCCATTAAAACCTCGATTACAGAGATTATTTTTGTCATCAAAGACGGCCGAGGATATGAGATGGCACGCAACAGATGCTAACAACGATGGAATGTTGAGGCATCCTAGAGATTCAGAAGCTTGTGTAACGCCCCGATTTTGACTATTCCTTTTTCGTTGAGTCCTTTTTGGTTTAATTGGGCGAATATCATTTGAATGTGGAAATTGTGTGGAAATATGTTAAGTTTGCATATTATTCTATTTTAACCGATTTTGGGAGTTTTCGGAGAAAATAGTTTGGAGGGTATTTTAGACATTTCCTATTTAATGTTAAGTGAGATATTTTATGAGATATGGAATTAGTTGATGTTTTGGAAAATAATGAGAAAGATATAAAAGAGGAAATAGAAAGGAAAAAAAAAAGGAAAAAGAAAGAAGAAGAGGAGAAAGAGAAGAGAAAGAAGAGAAAACCTAGATTCTTCAAGATCAACCAAAGCTTGCGATTAATCAGGTAAGGGTGAGAAGTTTTATCATCTTCATAATGTGTATGATCATGTATGTGCTAGATTGGATTTGTTGGATTATTTTCTATGTTTCCATTTCTAGGTCGGAAGTTGATTTAATCGGTAGAAACTGAGTTTTATCGGTTAGAATTTGGAATAGACGGTATAGTATAGTCGGATGATGAGTGGGTTGTACTACTGGAACTGGTTTGGATTTAATCGGTTGGTTGTGTGGAGTTTGGGCTTTGGAACATCCATGGAAGTTCTGTCTTCGCAGGCTCGCCAGGCGAATGGCAGCGAAGCTTCGCCGGGCGAAGCCCAGCGAGCAGCAGCGAACCAAGTTAGTAGCATCCACCCTGTCTTCGTTGGCAAGTTCGCCAGGCGAATGAGAGTGGCGAAGGTTTGCCAGGCGAGTATGCTAGCGAGTGCTAGCGAGTAATTCCAGAATAAATCCCAGTGGTCTACGCTGGCAAGTTCGCCAGGCGAACGAAGTAGCGAAGGTTAGCCAGAGGCTTCGCCAGGCGAAGGTTAGCGAACACAGCAGCATATTTTTCTTTCTTGTGTTTTCCATTCGTGGATTGGTTGTGTGGTTTGGTTGCGATCATTCCTTGTTTGAGATGATTAATTATATGTTGTTATGTGTGTTGTGGGTAGCCGTATGGCGTGAATCCTAGTTTATGAATTGTGAAGTGTGGAATGTGGCCGTTTGGTATTTTGGTGCATTACTTGAATGTAATAGAAATGCATGATGAGATTATATGATGACTGTATGTATGTATTGTGATATGTATATATAGTGGATGCATAATGAATATATGCAATGAATGTGAAGAATGCATGAGCATGTTCGCAAACGTGGTTGCATTTCAAGAAGTGTATGAAGTACATTCTTGTGCTGTTGACTCTTAGGAGAGTCTGATGAGTGGTGTGACTCTTAGGAGAGTCTGATGAATGAAGTGATTCCTAGGAGAATCTGATGAACGAATTGATTCCTCGGAGAATCTGATGAAAGATGCGATTCCTCGGAGAATCTGCTAAATGACTTGATTCCTCGGAGAATCTGATGAACGGTGTGATTTCTTGGAAAATCTGATGAACGGTGTGATTCCTCGGAGAATCTGATGAACAGTGTGATTCCTTGGAGAATCTGATGAACGGTGTGATTCCTTGGAGAATCTGATGAACGGTGTGATTCCTTGGAGAATCTGATGAATGGTGTGATTCCTCGGAGAATCTGATGAATGGTGTGATTCCTAGGAGAGTCTGATGAGTGACGTGATTTCTAGGAAGATCTAATGAGTTATAGGATACCCATGAGGGGTGGGAGTGAATTGATTCTTAGGAGAATCTGACGGACGATTAAGTCGATAGTGTGTTGCATTCGCGTAGAGTAGCGAGTTGGCCTCTATGATTTGCGTGTTGACATCTGTGCATGATGTATGGAGAAATAAGCATGTTGTGTATGTTTATTAGAATAATGTGAAAGGTGTGAATGACATAAGGAAATGCTTGAAGATATATATATATATATATATATATATATGTATATATATGTATGAATGAATATATGTATATATGTATATGTGTGTAACATGTATGAATGTTCCTGAATGGATATAAACCTTAATGATGCATATTGTTTATGCTTGATGTTCTATTTGTAAATAGACTTTAGTGGATACATTGCGATGTACGATGTGAGTCGTGGTGAGAAAGCGTAAGATGCATGATTGTGGATATGATATATATATATATATATATATATATATATATATATATATATATATATATATATATATATATATATATATATATATATATATATATATATATATATATATATATATATATATATATATATATATATATATATATATATATATATATATATATATATATATATATATATATATATATATATATATATATATATATATATATATATATATATATATATATATATATATATATATATATATATATATATATATATATATATATATATATATATATATATATATATATATATATATATATATATATATATATATATATATATATATATATATATATATATATATATATATATATATATATATATATATATATATATATATATATATATATATATATATATATATATATATATATGTATATATGCCTTTATGCATTATTTGTTATGATATTGTTTCTCACGCTTCTGCTATTTTATAATGCTCTATGAGGCATTGCAGATTAGATTACTGGAGATCTTTTGTGAGGCGTGGCTTCATCCTTTAGTTGGTCGGCTCTGATATGTAGCACCGGGTAGCTAGGAGTTGTTTTGTTTCTTTTGTGATGCATGTGTATATGTATCTGCTGATGAAAGTTATGTAACCATGTTGGTTGATGATTTGTATATATGAATACATGTGTTAGAGAATTATGAAATATTTGGATGTTCCGCCTTTGTTCTAGATATTTTCTCGTGGGTGTTACCCCGTTGTTGCATATCATTATATATGAGCAGGTGTTTTATATGTGTGATTTTCGGATAATGTGGCATGTCCCTTTTATACCGTTTTATAAACTTACTCTGATGAAATTTTGAATTTGTGCCTAAATAATTAATTGTATTATTTGGGGGTATAGAAAGGGGGTGTTACAGCTTGGAAGAAATTTGACTTGACACATACTTGGTTTTTATCAGATCCGCGAAATGTGCGTCTTGCATTGGCTAGTGATGGTTTTAATCCTTTTGGTGTGATGAGTACAAACAATAGTATTTGGCCAGTTGTTCTCATTCCATATAACACTCCTCCATGGGTTTGCATGAAACAAACATCATTTATAATGTCGATGATAATTCTCGAAAAAGAAGCACCAGGAAATAATATTGATGTCTACTTACAACCCTTAGTCAAAGAGCTGAAAGAGTTATGGGCAAATGGCGTGGATACATACGATTCTTTCAAGAAAGAGATGTTCAAGTTGCATGCAAATTTGATGTGGACGATTAGTGACTTTCCAGGTATGGGCGCACTTTCTGGGTGGAACACATACACAGGGCCTGCTTGCCCATCGTGTAACTTTCAAACTACACCTCTCCGTCTTAAAGCTAGCCGTAAATGGTGTTTTATGGGTCATCGTCGTTTCCTTGACCAGAGACACAGGTTTAGATTAAACAGGATCCGCTTTAATGGTGAACAAGAAATACGGAGTCCACCGAGAACATTATCTGGACATGAAGTTTTTGAACAGGTTAAAGATATTGAAGTCATCTTTGGTAAAAAGTCAGTGAAAGAAAAATCGCTAAAAAGAACATTTGAGGGACAACCTATAGAAGGTGATAGTACACAGTGTGATCCTACACTAGGTCATCCTCAACAATGGAGAAAAAAGAGCATATTTTTTGAACTTCCGTATTGGAAGGATAATCTTCTGCGCCATAATCTTAATCCAATGCATATTGAGAAAAATGTGTGTGATAATGTCCTATTTACTTTACTAAATGATAGGCAAAAAAGTAAAGACAATTCTAAAGCTAGAGATGACCTTCAAAACATGGGTATAAGACCTGATCTTTGGCCTGATGAAAATGGTAGAATTTCTCCGGCAGCCTTTACTTTAATGGGTAAAGATAAAAGGAATTTTTTAACAACTTTAAGGAATATTAGGGTGCCTGATGGTTATTCGAGCAACATTTCTAGATGCATTGATTTAGTAAATCTCAAGGTGAATGGAATGATGAAGAGTCATGATTGTCATATATTAATGGAACAACTCCTACCATTAGCCATTCGCAACATATTACCTCATGAGATTTCAGCAGTTTTGATTGAGTTGTGCTCATTCTTTAGACAATTATGTGCCAAGGTATTGAAAATTGAAGAATTGGAAAAATTGCAAAACCAAATTGTCCTTACTTTATGCCACATGGAAATGTTATTTCCTCCCTCGTTCTTCACGGTTATGGTTCACTTGGCTGTTCACCTTGTTGAAGAAGTTAAACTTGGAGGTCCTGTTCATTATCGATGGATGTATCCTATTGAAAGGTAAACTATGTGATTTTATTTTATTGTTACTAACTAATAAAGTAGAAAGATTTTTTTAACCGATAGTATTGTGGTTCAATAATAGATACTTGGGAAAACTTAAATCGCATGTACGTAATAAGGCAAATCCAGAAGGGTCTATTGCAGAAGGATACCGTTTTGAAGAGATTCTTACATTTTGTTCAAGATATCTAGAAAATATTGAAACTAGATGGAATCAACCTGGACGTGTAGATGATGACCCTATTGGTGATATCCAAACAGGATCACGTGTAGCCGAATTATTTCCTATATTTGGAAAACCCGTGGGTGGATCTTCTTATTACACCCTAACACCAATTGAAAAGTTGCAGGCTCATAGACACATTTTAACGAATTGTCCAATAGTTGACGACTATCTAAAGTAAGTAGGTTTATGCCATTTAAGTAGTTTCATTTGCATTATTAATACTTTTTTTTACATCTAATATCAAATAACCAAATAGGCAGTTCCGAAGTATTACTCAGAATCAACTGAAGCGCAGTCAAAGAAGTGCTGCTGAGATAGATAAGAAGGTTCATAGAGAATTTGCTCACTGGTTCCGCAATCGTGTGAGTTTTTGTACAAAAATAGATGTTTTAATTGAATTGGATTTTAATAATAACAAGACTAATTAGATGTTGTATCGTGTATAGATTTGCAACAATCTTGACAACATTCATGGACCAGATAAAGATGTTCTCATTAGCCTTGCTTATGGCCCTTTTGATATGGCCCTTTTGATAAAGTTAAAAGATTTACTGCGTTCGATGTCAATGGATTCAAATTTCGAACATTGGAACGAGATAATCTTTTAAAAACTCAAAATAGTGGCGTTTTTGGCTTGTTTGGGACGCAAAGTTATTCAAGCAATAGTGATACCCAAATGAGATTTGGAGGGGTCCCTTACTATGGAAGATTAGTAGACATTATTGTGCTTTTCTACGATGGCTTCACAGTGCCCATGTTTAAATGTGAATGGGCTAATACCACAAACCCAAGAGGCATTAAGATAGATAAGTTGGGTTTTACTTCTATAAACTTTACAAAACTACTACATTCTGGGAAACATGAAGATAATGAGCCGTACATTCAAGCGTCAGAAGCTCAGATGGTTTTTTATGTGGATGATGAGAATGAACAAGGGTGGAGCATACCTGTTCATTTGAAGCCAAGAGACTTGTATGACATGGGTGGAAATGATGAAATTATGTCACCCATTGAGCCATATCCATCACAAAATTTGGAACAAATTTTTTCGAATGATGATATTGGAACTTCATCAGCAAATGATAACAATAATTAACATATAGTTTTTTTATTGATAAGAAATTTAGTTTGTTGCTATAATTAACATTATTACTTTATGTTTTTTTTTGTTTATCCATAATTAATGCGTGAGATGACATTACTATTCTATATTTTATTGCATAAATTATTCTTTTAATTTATTGTGTTTGCGTTATGTTTATTAAATTTATAGTCACTAATATAAAATTTTGATGTTTACTATTATTAGTGTATTGTCTTTTTAATACATATACTTGCAGTTGAAGCCTTTTGTGAGACAATGATTTCATCATATGAGGAAATTCGCCTCAAAAGGATTGCAGAGAATAAGAAAAAGCTAGAGGCTCTCAATCTTCCAAAGCTCTCTCAATCCCTTCACAAAACATCTTCGTCTTCTTCCAAACCATCACCGGTTAGTAATAAATTCTCAATACTAGTCTATAAAAATTAATTGTATTAATTGTTGATTGATATTCACTGATGTATTTTATTTAGCCTGTGAAGGGTCGTCCGAGGTTTGTACAACCTGGAGAGCTTGAAGTAAACAAGAAGCGTCTACGTTCAGCTACAATGTGCAAATCATCAATAATCCATCCTCCAATCAAAACTACAATAAATCTTCCGCCAATCCAAACTAAAATTACCCCTCTGCCAATTGAAACTACAATAACGCATTTGCCAATCCAAACTACAAAAGATGTTGTGGTAGAAGATGAGGATGAAGATGTTGTGGTAGGAGATGAGACCGGAGATGACGTGGTAGGAGATGAGGCTGAAGATGTTGTGGTAGGAGATGAGGCTGAAGATGTTGTGGTAGAAGATGTGACTGAAGATGTTGTAAAAGTGGCTAAATCTGTGTATTGGGATGTAAATGTCATTAGTAAGTAATTTAAGGTTAAAGTATTTGTAAATAATTTAATTTTTTTTACATAGTTGAGTTATGACATTAATTTGTTTACTTGTTTATGTGATAGATGAGGAAGGTTATGTTTCAAATACACGTTTATGTGTGAAAGACTTGGTTGCAAAATCAAAGTCTGATGGAACATGGATAATACTTGAATTTGATAAGGATCATTGTGCAATAGGACCAGCTTCTGGTTTGTTAGCAGGGTATTTGGGTATAATTATTAGAATGTTTAAAGACTTTCCCATAATGTTCGAGAGTTGGAAGGATATTCCAGCGGATACAAAAACAAAGTTTTATGATTCAAAGATAAAGGTATCATTAATAAACAATTACATATTTTTTAAATTAATTTCAAGGTGATTATTATTTGCTTTGTTAACTAATTTTTATTTTTATGGTTAGCTCCACTTTCTTGTTGATGATGGGCGTGACAAAGAGTTCATACTTGCTTCTGCTGCAAAGAAATGGAAGGATGGCCGACATCAATTGTTTCGCAAATTTTATAAATGGGATCTCACTTTGGAGGAAAATCTTCAAAATTATCCAATATGCAGAGGCATTCTGGAAAGTGATTGGGCTGTTTTTGTTCAATATAGGCGGAAAGAAAAAACACAGGTAACATTAGTGCTTTTATTTGTTAGATGTATCTGGTTTGTATGTTATTCCTATCTATAACGCATGTTTTTAATTGTTAACTATGTAGAAAATAGCTCAAAAAAATGTCCAAAATAGAGCAAAATTGAAGACTCCACATACACTCGGATCTAAGTCGCTTGCAAGGAAGAAACATGAGTTGGTATGTCTAAATTTATATAGATTTGAATGTATTACTGATGGTAAAAATAATTAATATATTTTCTTATTTGTAGGAATCGAGAGATGGACGAACATACAGTAGAGGAGAAATGTATGCAGTTTCTCATAAAAAGTCTGACGGGTCTTTTGTCAGCGAAGATGCATACAATAATAATGTAAGTACAAGTTAATTCTTTTTAAATATTTGTTAGTCTCCTTAAGGTATGAGAAAAAATCAAACCTTTTAGCATCTCTTAAAGATGGGGAGAACCTGTCTGAAAACTGATTAAATTAGATTGAGAATTGTGATTATTTAAGTTAATTAATTAGTCTTGTAACAATAGATTGTGCTCTTTATAAAGTCAACTAATTATTCAGACAAATAGAAATAAAATATAAAATTAAGACAAGATTACGTTTTATATATGATGTGAAAACATATAATTCTACTAGTTACATACTTGTGTGCCTTAGATGAGAATAGTTGGTAAAATATATTTTCACTAAAGCATAACTTATCTGGCATCACTTTAAATAATCATACTGGAATTGATTAGCATGGCTTTAACTTATGATGCCATATATCGTTTTATATATGATGGAACATTTGTTTAATTGTGCAAGAGTTCCAACATCTAACACCAAATGTACCTTAGGTGTTGATGTACTCATTAAAAATAAAAAGTGTGCATTATAACATATTACTTACCTTATAAATGCAGCCCCATAGCGGAGACCATCAAATGTACACCTGAAAAAAATACCAACAAAATTCAAGACAAAGAAAGCTATGAAGTTATATATAATCTTTGAAAAAAAATTATAGTTATAACTCCAAAAGAAATTATAGTTATATCCTTGCTAACTTCTATATTATCCAACCTCATAATACAATAACTTGGAAGGTAAATTCATCGACAATAACATATTTCTTCAGCTCATGAAAGTACAGCCAAATGACAAAAACCAATGCTAATCTACATGTATTAACAGCATAAACAAAGCCATGCCAGATAAGTGTCTGAAGAAAATATATTTTACCATCATAAGTTATTCTTTAGTGAAAATATGTTATCTGGCATCACTTTAACTTATCTGGCATCACTAAAGCATAACTTATCTGGCAAAAACCAGTGCTCTTTATGTCCTACAAATATGTTATTGGAATTGAAATTTACCATCACAAATGCATACTGGAATTGAAATTTTAAATAATTCGAGCAGCCAATAAAACTTATTGGAATTGAAATTTACCATCACAAATAGATTAACTAGCTAAACTAAGTTTTAAATTACTAAACATCTTTTTCATCAATACCAATTTATCAGTTTTTGCTTATAATCATTGTTTGTTTCCCCTTAAGAAGTATGAATTTTTTTTATTAGTTAGATTAAAAAGTTAAGTTAAGTTTGCTTACTCAATTTACTCTTTTTCATGTGCAGGAAAAGTTACAAGCTGCAATTAAGGATTCTGTGTCTGAAAATGAGGCATTTCATGAGGCATTTCAGAAAGTATTTGGAAAAGAACAACATGGATATGTTCGTAGTATGGGACTTGGAGTTACGCCATCTCATATTAATAGATCTACAAGATCGGCATCTTCTTCTGCAGAAAATGAAAAAATAAAGGAAATGCAGCAAGAAATTATTGCACTTAAAGAAAAAAATTCAAAAATTGATGAATTGATGGAGGCAATCACATTCTTAAAGCAAAGAGACAATGCTATGAAAGAAGAAATTGAAGTCTTAATGCAAATGCAAAATTCTAGTGGAAGACAGGTATATTATTTTGATGAATTTAAAGTTAAAGCTTCAGAGTATTATTTTAAAGAATATTATTTTAATACAATTTTTTTCCAGGGATTGGAATCACCTACTGATGGTAGACGTTCATCTGAGTCTAGCTACCGAATTCCATAATGACATACTTTCTAGATTATGAACCTTCTTATTCATTTTTGGCACAATGATACTTATTGTTATAAGATTATGATTTGATATGTTTTCGGATTTTTGTATTACAAAACATGATTATGGAACTTTCATTTTATATGATTATGAAACTCACGGTTTTTCGATATTATAATATTTATTTGATATTAAGTTTTGGAATTAATTTTACTACGTTAAAAAGCGATAGAAAAAAATTATAAAAAAAATTATAAATAAAAATATTATTGTATAAATAATTTAAAGAAAAATAATATAACTATTTTAGTAGATAATAATTTAAATAAAAGAATATATTATAAAATAATATAATACAATTAATACAAATTAATAATGAACTTTCAAGATATCACATTCACGACAGTTTTAAACCGTCACAATCAACAACGGTAACAAAAATCAAAAGGATATTCACGACAGTATTTAACTGTTGTCATTTCCAATTTATGTCAGTTCCAACCAGTTGTGAAATAGAGTTCACGACAGTTTTAAACCGTCACAATCAACAATGAAAATAAAAATCAAAAGGATAGTAACGACGGTCTTTAACCGTCGCCATCTCCAGTTTAGGTCAGTTCAAACCCGTCGTGAAATATAACGACGGTTGTGTGTGACGGTTTTTTCAACCGTCACTAAACAGCCTGGGGACACACGTTTCTGCGACGGTACTACAATCGTCGTAGAATGTAATTGATGGTGGTTTTAACCGTCGTAACCTGCCAAAATAACCGTCGTAATCCATCGTTTTTCTTGTAGTGGTGGTTGACTTCAATGTACTCTTGAAGTAGCTTGCCCCTGAATGAGCGTTGAAGCGACTTAACTTATCCTGATTGAATACTAAAGAATTCTGCCCTCACATCAAAGAAACTCTGA